GGTCGTGGCAATTGAGAGCGGCCACAAAATTTTCAATTTGGAGGTATTTCTCGGAGAGGTTGTAGAATTGGGTGAGGGAAACGTCATCCTCAAATTGCAGTTCCTTCCACAAATCAGCCTGCGGGTGAACTCCAGTGATAATGAGAGTCCGAACGGACTCTTCAGGAGTATGAGCCACTTTGTGAAGTTTCTTGTAGAACTTGTCTATGTAGGACTAGAGAGGTTCATCCTTCTCCTACCGTATATCACTCAAGTAGCTCAATGACATTGAGAACTTCCTGTTCGCCTGGAAGTGTCTTAGGAACAATGAGCTCATTTGATGCCATAAACTGATTGATCCCGTGGGAAGTGACCTGAATCAACATTTGGCATGGGCAGTTAGGGTTACTGCTAAGCAACGACATTTGGCCAAGTTGGAGACTTGGTAGAGTTCCGTGAGGTCGTTGAACTCATACAGGTGATCCTACGAGTCTAAATTCCCATCGAATGCCTACATGTCGAGCATTTTAAAACTGCTGGAGAAAAAGGGAGACGTCTATGCGACCTTCCCACGCTCATTCTGCTGAGCCTTAAGCTGATCCAACGCTCGTTGTAGTTCCTCAATCTGAGGCAGCGAAGCTGCCTGAGCATCACTTTCCGCAATGTGGGTTCGACCCTCACGATTGTGGTTGAGGAAAGATCGCAAATCGAGCTCTTCCTCAACTTGACTGAAAGCTCCGACAAACTTTGTCACATGCTAGCTAGAGTCGTGTGAAGACATTGAATGATTCGAGGAATTTTCCTAATCTCCGCGGTGGTCTGAACCAACCCACAGAGGACGGGGATTTCCCTTATGATGACGATCGAGGTCGTCATTTCGACGATATTGGGAATCTCCCCGCCTTGCACTTTTGTGGGAGTGCCCATGCGACGTGGTGTAGGACGGCTCATGCTGTGACTTGTCACCGAGTTGCAGTGCCATTGGTATTCTACCTGTTGCGCGACCGGTGTTTGCCAGTCCCTCGGAGCCCTCTGGTCCGTTGTTCGCCACTTGCTTTCCCCTTCTTTGGTGAGCTGGTGCGCGCTTTCACCCTTTTCCGCGCTTTTGCCCTTTTCCTCGTTTTCGCGCAACCTGCAAGCGTTTTTGGCGGTGGCACCGCTACTTTGGATTCTGGTGGCACAACCCGATCCAAATAGTCCAGCCTTTGGCTAACCGTTTAGAGAGTATTATTGAACCTCTTTAGGTAACTCATTACAGTTGGGTTGAGCCATGAGCTTGAAGTTGTTAGAGTAGGTGCCTTAGAGCCAATGAATTATTGTAGGATTGACTTTTTGTAATAATGTTCATTGATCAATAAAAGGCATTTCATACTATATATCACGTAAATCATCATTGTATGTATTGATATATGTCCTTAGAATGGTAAAACCGTGATAAGGGTATCAAGTGTTTTAAATCTTGATAGTGAGAACCCTATGAGCACATATGGTAGCCATTCTAGAAACGTCCGTAGCCCTAGTATTATTTTGAAGTAGGAGCATAGATAATACAATAAGACTATCATCGTGTTGAATGACTTTGTCGAAAGGCAATGACTGATCTTACTTGTCAAGGTTGTTTGGTGACAACCTGGTGCAATACATAGGTGCTTGTTGTAGGCAAGTTCACTGGACTGACCCACCAGAAAATTCCATATGGATGGTAACCCCAATGTCTATGGAACAAATCATCTAACGAATGGTGGTGCATGTGATCCTTAGACTTGAGATCACCGGAGCGCCTTGTGCACCGATTGGTATTGTTTGACATTAGCCTAACACAATTCTATTCAGAGTTGTCAATACGGTGGTGATTGGCTACATCAAGGAGTATATCAAGACTATGGTAGATAGACAGAGGATTCATCACTCCCGGGTACAGGAGAAGTTATCTCATGGCGTAATTCAGTAAATGACAATGATACTAAAACTATGGCCATAGTGGGATTGAGTTGTTGCTATATCCAGTTTATAATACAAGTCATTGGTCTAGTAACTGAATACATAATATCGAGAGTAACCGAATGTTGATACTATTTCTATGCCTCTGTCTCGTCGAGATAACGGATGATGAAAGGATCAGATTGTACGGTAACCATATTGTTGACAGGTAACTGCTTCGTTGAATTCGAATCTATCGGGTAGCCATGATGCCTTGCTAGGGGCCAATCTTGGTCTGTGTGTAGTGAGACAATTAATTGGTATTAATTGCGATACTATACACTACTGGTATGATGAGGAGCCTACGGGTCACACACATAAAAGATAATTTAAGAGCCAATTTAGAAGAAGAGTGTTTTCATTTTTTTAGGTGAAAGGGTATTTTGGTAATTTTACAGTACAATTAAATTTGCTGAGATCATAACATTTATTTAATTTGATATTAAAATTAAATAAGTAAGATTACGTTTAAATATATGTTTACATATATTTAAATAAATTATCATTATTGTTAAATGTTAATATATTATAAATATATATTAATTTAATTTAATTGAGATAATGATAAATTAAAATTAAAATATCTAAAAGAGGATGTTTGGATGCAAGGGGTGTTTGGGTTGGAGCCCAAGCTCATTCCATGGTGGAATAGGGCAAAGTGTGTACTATATAAGTGCAACACTTTGTGAATTAATGAAAAAAATTCTCTCATTCAATCATTTACCAAAATATTCCAGCCCCTTTATACTCTCTCCCACACTAGTTTTTGCTTTTGCTTGAATCAAAGACATTTTGATTTCTTATTGGTTCTTGAAGGCTAAAGAGGATCTAGCAAATCCTTCTTTAGTTCCTTGAGGTTATCTTCGTGTGGACTACATTGGTTCAATCCTACTCTTGGGTCGGTAGCGAAATACATTCAGAGACAAGTTGGAGGAGCCTCTAAACATGTGTACGATTTCTTAAACTTTAAACTGAAAATCTTCAGATTCTTGTTTATTGTGTAAACTGTAAAATTGTACCCTGATCTTGGTTTTAAGGAACGATCCATGTTGTAAATAATTTTTGTTTTCCACTGCCATAACTTGATCGTTTCCTCACAAAAGGAATATCTGCTATGGTACTTTATTGAACTAGAGACACTTCGGGAAAAGTGTCCTCCTGTACCTAGGGGATTTCCTCATTGTCAAAGTTGATTCGCTCAAGTTTGAAACCGCGACCCATTTGCTAATTGGTAGGACCAATTAGTCAGAAGTTTCTGATGAAGTGCAGATACTAAATCAGGGCCCTCCTTCTAGCGCCAAACTGTTAATGCTCGATTTTGACACTAACAACTCACACGTGCAAAGCGCTAAGTGAACTTAGAAATTACACGTGATAAAAACATGAAATGAGAGAATAAAAAAGAAACGATTTTTAAAGTGGTTCAGATGCTCAAAAGCAAATCCTACGTCCACTGTTGTTGCATTAATAGATGGATACAATCAGGTCGCTTGTGGTGAGTTGAGTTACAATCTAGAGGAAAAAAGAGATAGAGAGAGAGAGAGAGAGAGAGAGAGAGAGAGTATGTTGTTTTTAGACTAGAATAAGTCAATCTCGTAAATGAGAGGGGAATCCTCTATTTATAGTGGGAGGATTTAAGGTAATGATTACGAGTCTACAAGTGGGTAGGTGTCGTGCAAGTCTTTCCTTGCATCTCATTGGTTATCTACACGAGAAATTTCCTCAAATTGCATAGGGCTCGGGCAGGTGGATGATCCCTGGCCACTCGCAAGTCTGGCGTTCACCTGCTGCACTGACAAGAACCATACCTCTTCTGTCACTACGCAACATGGTAGCATCTAGATAGCACAAAGCCTTCTTGAATCCTGATTGGCTCTCGCTAACGAGAGCTCACGTCAACCCTAACTTTTTAGGCATCACACGTTGGTTGCATTTTTTTTTCTTATCGTTTTGGTTTTATTTTATTGTGTTTCTTATGCATACATGTTTGTTTAAATCTTTTTGGCTATGTGAACTGTATCTAGAGGGTTTATTTCATTTTCCTCTATGAGATTGCCTTTCAAAAAGTATCCAAAAAAAATAATAATAATAATCATATAATTATCAAAAATTCCCTAAAAAATATCAAACCCCTTTATAAAATTATCAAAACCCCTAATATGTTATAGTTTGGTTTGTAATATATATCTTTATAATTTTCTCATTGGTTTAATTATTACTTTAAATTAAATTTCATTAATAATATTGGTGCTATCTATGCAAGCAATGATGTATAATTAGCTAATTAATTATTTAAGAATCCCTCTTTTCATTTTTTTTACTACAATTGTCACATCAGTCAAAATTATAATCCTTTTATTTAGAATTTTTTCTGTTGAACTGTCTGGTTGCTAATCGATCGTCCAGGCTGAAAATATTCTTTTTCTCTATCTTTTATTATTCAAACATATATATACGAATTCTCCATGAATGAAAGTATGAAACTTCTTTGTTTATCCTTAAAGTCAAAATGCACGGCCGCATATTTCATAGTCATTTGACTTTTCAAACGAAAAACATATAAGGTAACTCTTTGCTAAATACTTTATATTAATTAGATCGATAACCACCAGAAGATACTTGGAATAAATTGCAAATTTAGTTCACAGTTCATATCGAAGCTTATCAACATGGGTGAAGTGAAGGTGATTGGATCAACTTTAAGCCTATTCTGCACAAGAATTGAATGGGCTTTGAAGCTTAAAGGGGTTGAATATGAATACATAGTGGAAGATTTAATGAACAAGAGTCCAATAAGTAGACGTATGATTCACTTCTTTGAGCATACGAATCACTTTAAACGCTATTCTCTATTATTTTTACTCTTACTCTCTCATTCACGTATGTCTTCTGGTCCAGTTCAGTATTTCATATGAGCGTTTAGTTGATGTCAAAATTACGCATCAATAAAAAGATACATAAAAAATATGTTTGATTAATCATGTTTAACTTTGTGCTTACACAAGGATTCTAATCTCGTATTTAAATTTGTATGAAACTATTGTTTGATGAGTGCATTTGGAGCTTGCTCGAAAGGAGGAGGAGAAAAGGACAAAGCAGTGGAGTCTGCAATAGAATCGTTTGCCTTTCTTGACAAGCAGATTGAAGGAAAGAAATATTTCGGTGTACAAGAAATAAGAAATCTACAATGTAATGATATAATTAATTAAATTTATAATTATTTAATTAAATAATATATTTAATATTATAAATCAATTAATTAATTAATAATTAATTAATGTAATGCTATAATTAATTATATTATAAATTAATTAAGTAATGTTATAAAATTATAATAAATTAAGGAATCATTTAACTATAATGTAATGTTATAATTGATTAAGTATGATATTTAACTAGTAATTAAATTTATTAATATTTATCAATTTATCATATATAATTAATTAATTACTAATTTACTATAGATATACTTAGAACTTGATAATTGAAGTAAATAACTAAATATATTTTTACTCAATCAAATATACTATTTTATTCAAAAATGATTCTTTTAATAACATTAAAACACTTTTAATTGGATCCTAATTCTAATTATCTACTTAATTAATCAAAACTTAAATATTAATATATTATAATATATTAAAGTTATTAATATAGTATAATTTATGTGTAATAAGTATCATTGTATCATTTAGGTTATGTGAACTATATCTAGAGGGTTTATTTCATTTTCCTCTATGAGGCTGCTCAAATGAAACTCAACCCATCCTTCAAAAAGTATTAAAAAAAAAAATCATGGGTGCCTTTGGTTTATTATTCCTATCTATATTCCCAAAATATTTGTTTGTTTAATTATTTGGGAAATATTATTATGTTTTTTTAATTATTTTAGACCCCTTAAGTTTATTAATTTCATTAAATACCCCTAAAAAAGTTTAAAAATTAACAATAACACCCCTACTCACCCATAGTTGCTAGATTCCAACAACCACCATCGGTGGTAGCCGAAATCTGTCACAACGGCCTACAAACCATCAAAAGTAGTCGGTAAGTCGTCGATCTGGTCTTTTTCGACTAGATCCATAGTGGATCTGGTCAAAAAATGTCAGATCTAGCCATCAACGATAACCAAAGAAATAGCCATCGTTGACAGTCAACGATGGCCAAACCTTTTCTGGTAGTTGACAACCAGATCGACGCATTTGCGGCCAGATCTGACCAACCTGAATCGTAATGCCAGATTCCGACCAGATTTCAACGGTGGTGGCCAGAGTCTGGCGCTGTGGGTAGGTGGGGTGTTTTTGTTATTTTACAAAAATTTTATATATTGGGGTATTTAGTTAAATTAGTAAACTTATGGGGTTTTTTGTAAATTTTTAAATTTTACCTCGTAATAATAACCCTATCCAATACTATCCCCAAAATTATATCCAAAATAATAAACCAAACGCACCCCATATAATTAACAAAAATTCCCTAAAAAATAGGGAGAACGACATGTTCTCACCCAAGGTTTGGCGAAACGACACTTTCCCACCCATCAAGTTTCAAAATGATACTTTCCCACCCTTCGTTAGGTTCTGTTATGTTTTCCGTTAATATTTTACTGAAAAGACGAAAATACCCTTAAATATTTTACTTTATAAATTTTTTATTATTTTTTAATTAGCCAAAAAGTCAAATATTAAAAAAAAAAAAATAGTTAACCTCACTTAAAAAGTTAGGAATAATGCTATAAAATTGTTTAAAGTTAAATAATCTTAATACTGTATTTATTTATAATGTCATCAATATCACATCACTATTATTTATAATGTTTTTCATTTTTACTAATTAACATAAAAAATTAATATTTCTAATTAATTAAATAAATAAAGAAAAAATATATCTTTATACTTGGACTAATAAATAATCGAATAAAGACTTTGAATTAACTACTTTTAATTTATAATAAACTATTTAAGAGTATTTTCGTCTTTTCAGTTAAATATCAATTGAAAACACTAACATAACCTAACGAATTGTGAGAAAGTGTCATTTTAAAAATTGATGGATAGGAAAGTGTCGTTTCATCAAACCTTGGGGTGGAAAATGTTGTTCTCCCTAAAAAATATCAAAACCTTTTATAAAATTATCAAAACCCGCACTATTTTATAGTTTGGATTGTAATATATATCTTTATAGTTTTCTCATTGGTTTAATTATTACTTTAATTTCAATTTCATTAATGATATTGGTGCTATCTACGCAAGCAATGATGTATAATTAGCTAATTAATTATTTAATCCTGAATGAACCCTCTTTTCATTTTTTTACTACAATTGTCACATCGGTCAAAATTATAATCCTTTGTATATCCATAAAAGCTTGGTATAATTTTACTCACAACCAACAAGAGGAATCATCAATCATCCACACAAGGAACAAGAAAGCTCAGCTCGTCTTTATTCCTACACCAGGCATCGACCACCTCTTCTCCGCCGTGGACCTGGCTAAGCTTCTCGTCCACCACCTCTCCATCACCGTCCTCATCATGAAACTACCTTCTCACTCTAAAGTCAGCGCCTACCTCGACTCAGTCTCTGCAGCCAACCGTATCAACTTCGTTCATCTTGCAAACGATCACATTCCACTTCCTGGATCCAATCCCAGAAAATTCTTCCCTTTATATATTGAATCTCATAAACCCCACGTCAAAGCAGCTGTCTCTAAGCTTCTTCATTCCGAGTCAGCCTCCGATGACTCACCCAGACTCGCTGGGTTCGCTCTCGCATGTTTTGTACAGTCATGATCGATATTGCTGATGAGCTTAGAGTTCCGAGCTATATTTACTACACATCGAGTTGAGGGTCTCTCGGTTTGATGTTTCACGTGCAGGCTCTTTATGATGATCAGAACATGCACACCGTTGAGTTGAAAGACTCGGATACCGAGTTGGAAGTACCAGTCTCGTTAACCCAATTCCTGCGATGGTTTTGCCTTCTGCGTAAATGGAGAAAGATTGGTCTATGATAGTGTTTGAGCAAGCAAGGAGGTTCCGAAGGGTTAAGGGTATTGTTGTAAATTCATTCATGGAGCTGGAGTATAATATGATAAAGTCTTTCTCAAATGGTGAAACTGAGACCAACATCTCACCCGTTTATTCTGTAGGACCCATTTTGAATCTTGAGGGTGATAGCATTGATTTAGGGTCAGGTGGGTCCAAAACAAAAGCAGAAATCATGGAGTTGCTTGATGATCAGCCACCATCATCGGTTGTGTCCCTATGCTTCCGGAGCATGGGAAGTTTCGATGAGGATCAGGTGAAAGAGATTGCCTGTGCGCTTGAGCAGAGTGGGCATCGGTTCTTATGGTCCCTACGTCAACCTCCACCAAAGGGTCAGGTCGCCATACCGAGTGACTACACAAATCCAACGGACCTTCAAAATCATCTTCTCGTATAAGGAAACTATAATTGAGATACCTTGACTTATCATATAATAATTTATTGAAGAAACTTCCTGAATCTATTTTTCAGCTTCAGAAGTTGGAGACGTTGAAACTTTTTGGTTGTAATCAGCTTGAGAGTTGCCTAGGAATATACGAAGAATGATCTCCCTTAGGCAGTGGAAATAACCAAAAAGAGCGGCATCTACGAGAAGATGGAATCGGATGTTTGAGTCTCTTAAATTTTTGAACTTATCTGGCTGCAGGAATCTAGTAAGTTGTTTGAAGGGATGCAAGGTCTCACAAGCCCGAAGATTGGATATTCGATTTTGTCCCCTGACTTCGTTGCCATATAGATCAAGTACTCAAGAGATTAGAGAAGGTAGTTATCAATACTGTTCAGAGCTTAATTGACGATGGAATTTCAAGGAGAAGATAAAGACAACCTTTGCTTGGGAGTTCGAAATTATAATTAACAATTTGCCATCGTTAGGGATTTGCCTCAGATTATTCTTCAAGGATCGGCAAACACCTTACAGTGCATAATGATTGAAAATTGTCCAAACTAAAAGAACTACCGGAGTGGCTGCCAAATCTCACATCACTTCAAACACTGGAGATTTTAAATTGCCGGAGCTTGTCATGTCTTCCAGAAGGGATGCAACGCTTACTGTCCTCAGACAACTGAAGATTCAAGGCTGTCCTGCTCTGAGTGAAAGCTGCAGACGCGATCAGTCGAAGATTGCTCAGTCCGAGAGGTTCATCTTGATGAATAAATGTAACAATAATAATGCTTTTTTTTTTCTGTTGAAGTAAATGTGATGGCAGATTCTCTTGCCAATGCATTGTGGGTGTTGTGTTGATTCTTCGTTTATTTTTCAAGACTACTCATGATCCCGCAAGTTTAACTACCCAGTTCACAGAACTCCAATTTCTTTCTTCTCGATTTCATTTGTTGGTTGTATTTTATTGTTTCTATTGCATGCATGCTTGAATATTTTATTTTTGCTTTGTACCATGACATTTGTCGTGTCAAAGTTTCATCACATCTTCTTATTCCGAGTGTTTTTTCTTTTATTTCTTGTTAATAAATATCCTTCTTATGATCCAGACTTACCAAAAAAAATTAAATAATATAGATTTATTAGTCTATTTTTATTTACTTGTGAATATAGTTAACAGGCTGTGAAAATTACAAGGCGCTCGTCAGTCAATTCAATTTCCAATTTTCTAATGTTATTAGTTCAAACTTTTATAAGTTGTCACAACAACCTTTAGTATTGCAGTTATGTTGTTCAATATTCAAAGTGAAGCTAAAGTCTTTTAAGTTGTGTAAACTATAATCCGATATGCAAATAAATGCACTGCATTGTGTATGTAAAGGAAGTAGGAACCAGAATTCAATCAAAATCACGTATTCATTGTAATCCAATGATTTAGAGAGATTTTGAATTGAGAATAATTTGTATTTCCTTTTTACTTTGATAAAGCTGTTAACCAATAACTAGTTCTACTCGATATCACAACTTTTTATCTTAACTGAATTGTGAATTGAATATTGCTGGGGCATTACTGTATACCCTCCAGGATTCCGGAATAATGTGATCAGAGGTTAGACTATATGGTATTATTTTCAATTAACTTACATATTGAGAAGATAGTGAAGGAGAAAATTTGGGTGGGAGAGAACAGAGGACCTTCTCTGGCTCACTGTCATGGAATTGGTTGATGCAGAGCGAAGTTCACAGTGCTTCATGAATGGTGTATGCAAAGAAAAGCTTCTCAACTATTTCAATTTTTGTAGGAAATGTATGTCTTTGTTGTCAATTTTTAATCTAAATGAGAAACCAACTGAATTTTTCTGCTTAGGATTGAGGCTTTTAAACAAACAGTTTCATTATTGCTAATCCTTAACCCTTGATTTAACTGAAACAAAAATCAGAAACCGTCGCCCAGAGTTGAGAGAGTTTCTTTACCTTCTCGATTTGTGATACGAGTGACTGGAGAGAGTTTGAAAAGTTTGCTTAATTTTGAAGTGGTTTTATATATGAGGGCAGTGTTATCTTTAAACTTTGTGAGGACTATTATGCAATAGTACAATTTGTCTATCATTAATGAACTTAATAAATATTTACAAATGAAAGGCTTTAGTACATGATGAATACGGAATATATATTTATGATAATGTATATTCATTTACAAAAAATTGTGATACAAAATGAACTTGTATTTATGAGAATGTATTTAAGAAATATATTTAAAGGTTCACTGGTTATTATAAAAATATTCAATCCCTCGAATATAATTGGGTGATAATGATCATCTCTTTCTTAATAGACATTGTATATGTAAAGGAGTAAAACTGCAACGTTAAAAATAAGAACAAGGAGATTATTATCATAAATTTTCAATCACCTTATTGGGTTCTTTTGACATCAAAATTCTTGATTTCTCTTCACACAGACACACTCACACACACACACACACACACCATATATATATATATATATATATAATATATATAGTCTGATTGGAGCTGCGCCGAGCCTATTCTGTATTTCTGTGTTAGAATTGAATGGGCTTAATAAGCTCAAGGGTAAACATAGAGTATATAAAGAAAACTTGAAAAGGAAGAGTCACCGCTCTCCAATCTAATCCTGTTACAAGAAGGTTCCGATGCTTCGCACAATGGAAAACAATCTCTGAATCTTTAGTCATCCTTGAGTACATAGAAGACACATGGAAACCACAACCCTTTATTGCCTGCAGATGCTGTCGACGGGCCATGGTGCGTTTCTGGGCAAAATATATTGAGACGGGGTAATTCAAGAGTTACAGATTCATTTGCGTAAAAAACTTCACACGTGTCATCTATAAAAAAATTTATGAATAGAAGAGAGCTCTGTAGTTACAGGAATCATACTGACCGTTTATTTGTATGGTTTATGTGCAATGTGTGTTTAGCTGTTCGCTGCTTACCGTGCCCAAGGACTTGAAAAGAGAGTGTAGAGTCTGCACTCTGCACAACAAAACTAGGAGTTCTCAACGAGCAGATTCAAAACATGAAACTTTTTGGTGAAAACATGAGTTTCCTAGGCTTGGTTTTGGGTTCTATACTTCACTGGCACAGTTTATAGAAGAACTTGGAGGCATAAAGCTGCTTGATCCTCGTAAGTTTCCATCACTGTATGAATGGACTCAGAAATTGCAGAAACCCCGCTCCTCAAAGAAAAATGACCAAGAAAGATGACTTGATCAACTACTTGCGAGCTAGCCAGGAAGCGCTTAAAGATTACAATCTGTTGATTTCAGACTACAACAGGCAAAAACTTATAATATATAAAATGTGGTAAAAACTTTATAATATATAAAATGTGGTGTAACATCAAATATACGGTTGTAAGAATTTCGACAACCCATATACATACAAGCATTAATAATATGAAAGTTACATAAGATGGAGTTAATTAATTATTGCATGAGATAAGGCCTTCTGAACAACATTCTGGTTTATATCGAAACAAATGGAATTCCACTTCACTTCTTTGAATAATGTACCAACAAATAAACCACCATTATTATCATCTTCAACACAGCAAATCTTTATATATAACATACTCCTTACGGTACTGAGAATAATTATAACTGCATTTCTTCACTATGTGGTTCAATTTTTTTACATTTAAAATAAGTTACCCATTACCCACAACACCCTAACAAAACTAATTAGTAACACATTATACTTGATCATCTCAAATCCTATTTATTATTCCTGGAAATTAAACATTCCCCTGAAAATCTTTTTATAAAATATTGTTGTCACTCTCTCCTCTTACACTATATAATCAAATAATTTGATTCAAATTCCAACTTAAAATATGTGTGTAGAGTTTTTTAAAGCTAATTTTTGCACAAAATTGGTTGCTTTATATCCTGCTTCCTTCTTGATGAAATGATCAATGAATATCCTGTATATTCTAATAACATACCTTACTGTGAATTTATATACAAGAATGGGTTTAGGTATTGTTATGCCCAAAAGTCAAGCCTATGTCAGCACCTTAATGTCTCTTTGTACCAGCTACCAAGCCATACTCCAAGATATTCTCCACTAACTTATCTCATTTAAAGAGATGAATGGACGAGAGCTTTTCATGTGTCAAGGCAGCTTGCAAAACACTCATGCATTGAGTGCAAATGTGAATAAATTGGCACTCCTCTTCCGAAGAAAGGAGGCTGGGTGAGATTTGAACTTCATTTATTCTCTCTCTAAAAACACTGTATTCTTCATCTTTGTATGCTTTACGGGCAAAATCATAGAAATAGTCAGATCAATAAAATAACATTGGATGTAGGAGGTCGCTTGTTGCATCCGAACCACTATAAAAAACCCTCTTGCCAATCTTTTATTTATGTTTTCTGCAAAATATATAATCTCAGCTCCATATTCAAATCTCATGGATCCATCACGTGTGATTCCTAAGTCCGCTTAGAGCTTCTCATGTGCGAGTCGTTGGCGTCCAAAATCAAGCGTCAACAGTTTGGTGGCCCACGCAAGTCTCGAACCTGCATCCGAGTCCTTGATGGCGTACTCAGATCTCAAACCAGCGTCAGAGTTCTCCAATCGCGTGGCCAGATCGTAGATCGCACGCGTAGAATTCTTCGATCGCACATCAGAATTCCCTAATCGCGTGGCCAGACGCAGATCGCACGCATCAGAGTTCTCTAACGCGTGACCAGATCGCAGATCGCACACTATACATCCTGATCCTCAGCTTCAATCACGGATCTTAGCTTTAAATCGCTGTTCAGATCGCTGATCTCTTGTGCTCTTAGGTAGAGCTCGTTTTGATTTCTAAGGTCGAGCTTAGGTCGTGTTCAGGTAGAGTCAAGTCGAGCTGATATCGTACTCTTTATGTGCTCGGGTCGAGCTAGGTCGTGCTCGTTCAGGTCGAGCCTAGGGGTGCTCATTGTGTGTTGGGTCAAGCCCAGGTCGTGCTCATTATGTGTTCAGGTCGAGCACAAGTCGTGCCCAAGTTGTGTTCTTAGTGCTCCGGTCGAGCCCAGGTCGTGCACATTGTGTGTTCGGGTCGAGCCGAGTTGTGCTTATGTGTATCAGGTCGAGCACAAGTCATGTCGTTATGGCTCGGGTCGAGCCAGGTCGTGTTCAGGTAGAGTCCAAGTCGAGCCTAGGTTGTGCTCGTTATGTGCTGGGTCGAGCCTAGGTCGTGCTCGTTCAGGTCGAGTCCAGGTCGTGCTCATGTGTGTTCAGGTCAAGCACAGGTCGTGGTCGTTGTGTGTTCAGGTCGAGCACAGGTGTACCAAGTCGAGCAGGTCGAGCTTGTTCAGGTCAAGC